TGTATAGACCAGCGAATCGGCCCGGCCCGGCTGGGCGGTGCCTGTCGGCTGGTCACAGCGTGAAGCCATCGGGCTGCAGCTCCAGTGTCACCCCCCGCACGCGGAGCTGCCTGCGTGTCCCCTGCGCACTGACTGCCAGTCCTCCCAGGGCTTTCCTTGGTGCGGAGAGTGTGGGGAGCCCTGTTAGTCTGAATCTGCAAAAGCAGCCAGGAGCCCTGTGGCACCTTAGAGCACGAGCTTTCGTGGGCAAAGACCCGCATGCATCTGACAAAGGACCCACGGAAGCTCATGCTCCAACACTTCAGTTAGTCTCTAAGGTGCCACAGGACTCCTCGCCGTTGATGCAGAGTTCTCCTTCCCTTTTCCACCTGCTGTCAGGCTCACTGGAGGTGTCCTGTGTCCGGCTGCAGGCCAGTGTTTCCCAAAGGGTGGGGCCAGGTACCAGTGGGTCGCAGGAAGGAGCTAGCTGGTTTGCCATGTCCAGACTAGGGATGTAATCATGCACTCAATTAACCAATAAGCAAAAGGTAACACACTTTCCTCTTCCCCACCAATACATTTTTAGCAGGCAGGCCAGCAGCCCGGCTCAGTTCCAGCTTGTGCTAGGTCAGGGACATACCCCCACTGCAGCTCTGCATTTAAAGTGTATTGGGAGTTGGGTGGGCAGGCAGCCTGGCTCAGTCCTAGCTCATGTGAGGTCCAGGAGATCAGGCACCCCCCTAGACGGATTGCTGTCACCCCACGCTGCTGCCTCTTTATCAGAGGCAGCAGCACAAAGCGACAGGCAGCCAGTCCGCGAGGGGAGCTGGTTTTTAAACCAGCTCTCCTCCTGGACCACCTGACTCCCTGCACTGCTGCCTCTGATGTGGAGGCAGCAGCGACGAGTGGCAGGGAGGTCTTCGGGAGTGAGGCCAGAGCGCACTGGCTGCTGGCGCTGCCCCTGGGGGCTATCTACTAGCCGTGTCACAGATAAGAATTCATGAGGTTAATTGACTATTTAGTTAATCGATATCTAACATCCCTAGTCGAGACCAGATTACCCCATCCCTGGGCTCTGATTTAGGTAAATATACACTATCCCAGCCCAGAGTAGAGGGAAGTTAATTGACTATTTAGTTAATCGATATCTAACATCCCTAGTCGAGACCAGATTACCCCATCCCTGGGCTCTGATTTAGGTAAATATACACTATCCCAGCCCAGAGTAGAGGGAATCTCCAGGCTACCGTGGCCTCCCCTCTGACTGGGCCAGGAATAGGGCTGCAGTTCTGGGGAAGTGATACGCGCTGAGGGTGATTAAAACAAAAACACAGTTTGTGGGTTGCCTTCGTAAAAAGTTTGGGAGCTGCTGATCTGGGGCCCTCAGGGAAGGGACCGTGGCTCGGTGTGGGTTCACGCAGCACCCTGCCCTGACCAGCTCAGATCTTCAGTGACTGCTCCATTGACTGCAGCAGAGCCACCGGGATTTACTGATCTAGGATCTGGCTTAATACGCCCCAGGACTAGTGCCCATGGACGTGTGTGTCTCACTTAGCTGCTCTATGCTCCAGTTCCCTGCTCTGCGACATGCAGCAGATGGTTCCCTGTCTGGCTTGGATGCTGGGGGGCTTGGTTCGTGTTTCCCGGAGGCTATGAGAAGGGCTCTGGGCGGTTTCACTGTCGTTCCTGCTGCGCAGCCCTTGTCTGCCACTCAGCTCCAGCCAGCCTATGCTAAGCCTTTCCCCAGTCAGAGAACCTATAGCGTAGCGATACGGCTGTGTACTAACATCTGGTCCCTCTCTACCCCTTCTCCAGCATGCCCCACCCTTCTCCCTACTCCCCCTCAGTCTTTTGTCTTTCTCCCCCCAAGTCCCGTATTCTAGCTCACTGCACGGCTGCCTTG